TTGAAGCTGAGCTGGGTGATAGGAACACGGGGATTCATTACATCATCTCATGTTTGAAAATTTTCATCCTAAAAGTTTATTTTACAAATTAAAACATTAAATAAAACAATTTAAAAGGTTGGTGTTTGCATAATGTTCTTCTAAATAAAAAATCCTCAGTAACTTTAGACAATTTTTCAAAAGTCATTTTATCACATACTAGTTTCCATCTATCATAATATGATTTTTTTTTTAAAAAAAGACAGAATCTTGCTATATTGCCCAGGCTAGCCTTGAACGCCTGGGTTCAAGCAATCCTCCTGCCTCAGCTTCTCAAGAAGCTGGGATTACAGGTGTGTACCACTGTGCCTGGCACAGACAAAATATTAGAATAACAGAATTCAACAAGGTTTTTGGTACAAGATTGCTGTACAAAAATCCACAGTGTTGCTATACCCCAATAATAGCCAAATAGAAAAAAAAAAGGATGTGAAAAACAAAACTATAAAACTATGAAAACAAAAACAAAAGTCTTAATGACCTCAGGAGAGGGAAGGATTTCTTAAAAAAGCTATAAATGTCAGCTATCATAACAACAGATTGATAAATTTGACTACATTGAAATTAAAATCTAGAGAACAAAAGCCCCATAAACAAAGAGGACAAGTGTCAACCTGGGAGAAGGTATTTACAACATATATACCAAGTGTCAACTTAAAAAGAAACCCAACAATGGACTGGGTGCGGTGGCTCACGCCTGTAATCCCAGTGCTTTGGGAGGCTGAGGCAGAAGGATAGCTTGAGCCTAGGAGTTTGAGACCAACCTGGGCAACAAAGCGAGACTCTCTCTCTCTCTCTCTCTTTAAAAAATGTATACATTAAAAAACCCCACGATAAATAAATTTAGAAAAGAAGGGGAGACTTTATGGCCTGCAAGGTTGTCATCCTGCAGGCTGGGAAGCGTGCCTCCAGAAACAGGCACTTTGAAGGAGAAGGGCTTGGAGTGTAGGAGCTTCAGGCTGAACAGGCTGGCTAAACATACATTTTCAACAGGTTACAGGAAGAGCTATGGATATTCATGAAAGTGGTCCTGACACATGTGTATTGAACAAAAAACTCATGTAACATATGACCCATATTCACTTTGGGATGGAGACTTAACTCTTTCGTTGTTGTTGTTGTTGAGACAGAGTCTTGCTCTGTCACCCAGGCTGGACTGCAATGGTGCGATCTCAGCTCACTGTAACCTCCACCTCCTGGTTTCAAGTGATACTCCTGCCTCAGCCTCCTGAATAGCTGGGATTACAGGAACCCGCCACCATGCCTGGCTAATTTTTGTATTTTTAGTAGAGATGGGGTTTCCCCATGTTGGCCAGGCTGGTCTCAAGCTCCTGACCTCGTGATCTGCCCACCCCGGCCTCCCAAAGTACAGGCGTGAGCCACCACACCCAGCCACCACACCCACACCAGAGACTTAATATTTAAATGTATTACAATGAGCCCTATACATCGAAAGGTCTTTCAGGACATGAAGCCATGTAAATATGCAACCTCTGTAAACCAGCCAGAACCAGTCCATGGCCAGTGGTGTTCTTATCTGGAGAAAGTTACTGAAATCAACAAAAAGTTGTCCAGTGAAAACTGTAGCTACGCTGGTGGAACGGGGGCTGGGGATCAGTAAGTCAGCATCTGGTGGAGCTGCACATTGTTTTAATATTGTTTCTCTTGAGGCCTGTATTTGTTTAGCTGCTAGAGAAGAACTTGTGGCAGTTAGAACACAGTTTATTCTTTAAGTATAAGGGTGTGGGACTAAAGCCTTGCCTGGAATGGCTTTAGGTCTTGTTTATAATTTGGCATCTTATTGCCAGAGTCTGTTCTGTCAGTCTTATCATCTCTGTTTTAACATTAATGCTGGCCAGTTGTGTCTAAATCACAAAAGAGAGGGAGTATAACAAGGTGTGTCTAACCTGTTCCACCGTGGTCTAAAACTCAGTTTTAAGGTTTTCTAGGATCCCCTTGGCCACAAGGGGGCCTATTCTGGTGGTGGGGGACTTAGGAGTTTATTTTTAGTTTATACAGTCAGTGAATAGAGCAGGCTATCTAATGACGTACACATCATTTGTGAAAGAAAACTCCGTAGCAAACTTTATAAAAGGTAAGAGTGGACAGTTCACAGAAGAGGAAATAAGGTTTCATAAGTTTGGAAGAATGCACCACTTTGTTAGGGAAATATAAATTGCAATTTTCACAGTGGTAAAAATGATAAAAGTCTGACCATATCTTGTGTTGAAGTGAATGTGGAGCAAAGAGAACTCATCAATGCTAGCGAGGGTGTAAACCGATAAAATAGTACATACATTATTAAAGACATTCTTGAGGCTGGGTGTGGTGGCTCACGCCTGTAATCTCAACATTTTGGGAGGCAGAGGCAGGCGGACTGCTTGAACTCAGGAGTTTTGAGACCAGCCTGGGCAACATGGCGAAATCCTGTCTCTACAAAAAATACAAAAATTAGCCGCATGTGGTGGTGGGTTCCCATAGTCTCAGCTATTTGGGGGAGAGGCAGGAGGATCATTTAAACCTGGGAGGTCAAGCTGCCGTGAGCTGAGATGGCGCCACTGCAATCCAGCCTAGGGGAAAAAGTGAACCCGTCTCAAAAAAAAAAAAAGGAGGGAGAGAGAGAGAGGTTGAGATTCTTGCATATATGCACAAGGAGAGCCATACAAGGATATATTTTATGTAAACAATTGAAACAACCCAAATTTTGTCCATGCTTAGGGAAATGGAAAAATAAATTGTGATATATGTATTTATTCAAGGAAATACCATGGGTAGATCCTTAAAAAGTAATGTCCAATAAGAAAAATGATTTGGAGAACATTAGAGTATAAGTTTACATACGTAAAAAAACAAATGACACTAAATGTATGTGTCTATAAACATGTTTAAGCATCGTAAAAGTAAAAATAAAAGTGGACTAGAATTACACTTTTATTTTTATAAAATAGAATTTTATACCCATAAAATTCATGGTAGAAGTGGCCTATGCCAAGAGAGGAAAATGAAGCAGGGAGGAAAGAGGAATTGAATTCTGTCATATTTAATTTCTTATGAAAAATCTAGGACAAAAATGAAAAATGTTAAATTTTAAAATTCTCAGTGATAGGCCAAAAATATTTGTTTCATAATTACTTGCACTTTTTTTTTTTTTTCTTTTTGAGACGGAGTCTTGCTCTGTCGCCCGGGCGAGAGTGCAGTGGCCAGATCTCAGCTCACTGCAAGCTCCGTCTCCCGGGTTCACGCCATTCTCCTGCCTCAGCCTCCCGAGTAACTGGGACTACAGGCGCCTGCCACCGCGCCCGGCTAGTTTTTTGTATTTTTTAGTGGAGACGGGGTTTCACCGTGTTAGCCAGTATGGTCTGGATCTCCTGACCTCGTGATCCGCCCGTCTCGGCCTCCCAAAGTGCTGGGATTACAGGTTTGAGTCACCGCGCCCGGCTACCTGCACTTTTTGAATAAAAAATAAAATCTTTTGGAAATTAAAAAAATTGGCGATTTGTCATGGTGATTTTCTTAAAAGACTAAGGTGTCTAGTAGGATACAGAAGACTTGCTGATTTTATTTTAGTTTATTTATTAATTTTTTTTTTTGAGACGGAGTCTCGCAATGTCGACCGGGCTGGGGTGCAGTGGCGCGATCTTGGCTCGCTGCAACCTCTGCCTCCCGGGTTCAGGCGATTTTCCTGCCTCAGCCTCCGAGTAGCTGGGATTACAGGCGCCCGCCACCACACCCGGCTAATTTTTTGTATTTTCAGTGGAGAGTGGGTTTCACTATGCTGGCCAGGCTGGTCTCGAACTCCTAACCTCGTGATCCGCCCGCCTCTGCTTTCCAAAGTCCTGGGATTACAGGAGTGAGCCACCGCGCCTGGTCTTATTTTAGTTTTTATGGCAATTTTTGAATTTGTAATTGGGTGAGAATAAAACTGTTATACATTTCACCTTAATGAAAACTTGCTAGTTTTCTGATGACAAAAGTAGTCACATCTGAAGTAAGGGGATTTCATGGTCTTTTTCTGAGCTTGCCTCCCGGAACGCTCCTGCATTATGTAATCTGTAGTAATATACAGCCAAGAGCAGTTTGGAGGGTTCCGGGAAGCACATTTGTTTTGCTTACCACCCATGGGAAAGATTCCACGTGGTCCTAGAGGCATACGTGTTCTTATGTTACAGTATTTTAAATATTCACTGGCCGCTGAAATTTAAAATGGATGAAAAAGAAATTCTCTTAAGTAGCGTTCTTGAAACTGCTTTATCAAACTCAGTTCATATTTTCAGTTGGAATTCGTGATGTGTGTGAATTTCCTTTCAATAAACCCCGAATGTTTTAGTAATACAGATATTGGGAACTTCGATTACTGTAGGTCTTAGGGGAGTATCGCTTGGACTTTGACTAAATACTATGCTTTAGAAACTTATCTTTAGGAGATAAATTTGGGGGGGTTATCTTTTATATTTGCTTTGTTTCAATTTATTTAAATAAAAGTAGGCTTTCTAGAAGTATGTTTTATAGTACCACTTACCTCGGATACTGTGTCAGTTAAGCAGTTTCCACGAATGTGGAAAAATAGTAGTGTTTTTCTTTCATACATGCGTATATGAAGAATTTTTACACTAATAGAGAATTATTTGTAAAAATTAAACTAAATTTACTATTAGTCTCTAATTTTGTTCTGAGATAGCCACGCTGTGGTATTAAGAAGGATAATCAAGGAATAAGCCAGAATGTTCAGAAAGGGGCTTTACTTTTTATTTGCAATGTTGATAAATTTTGTTCAGTCGAAGCGATGTCTGCGTGTCCTACCCCGCCTCCCCCATAAAACAGTGGGACAGAAAGTCCTGAAAACTCCAAAAGGGAAATATTTACTCAGAGGTCTGTTTAAATTTGCTTAGTCTCTGACGTACTTCTGTGTACTAATTCCCTCGTGCGGCAGAAGCAGTTTGTCTTTACTCGGCCACCGTCTCGTCAGCGTTACGGAGTATTTTGTCCGCCTGCCGCCGCCGTCCCAGATATTAATCACGGAGTTCCAGGGAAGAGGAACTTGTGATATGGGGGAGTCGGGAGGTGTTGCCGGCACGATGGAGTCATCTTTTAGTCCGGGACTCTCTCACAGGCTGGATGAAGATTGGGGTGAGTGGGATCTGATAATGCACCAGGTTGGCTCGGCTTCGCATCTACAGGTTTCTTCCTCCCTACTTCCGCCCAGTCGTGGTGACAGGTGTGGACCAACCCTGCCTGGTTAGTGAGGCCACTCGTCACTCTCGTTCGTGCCCCTGTGAGAGTCTGGGAGGATCGTTCGGCTTCTGTCCTGGCCACAGGGAGAGTAGAATATTGTCTAACTGGAGTTAACTATCGTTTTTCACTGTTCCCGTTGGGGAAGTACTGGATCATCTTTTTGTGTGGCTAACACTGGACGTCGTTAGGAGGTTTAGGGCAAGATGGCTGGGACCGCCAAAAAGGCTGCAAGCTATTTCCTGAGTGTGAAATGTGGGCGGTGAGCACAATGGAGTGGGTTTTTGTGTGCTTGATGTGCATGAGAGAATGTGGTCATATACAAGAAATCCTAATCTTACAGCTTTTACTATTGGTTTAAGCCTGATGTCCATCTTGGCGGAAAAGCAAAACACCCAAGCACCTGACCTCGGGTCCCTGCTTAGCTAGACCTAATACTCATGGTAGAATCCTGACTGCTTTCCAGATACAGCTCTTAATTTTCTTGCTAATGGATATTTTGTTTGGTTTTGGTAGTTAGGAAGAGTGGAATGGAATGAGGTGGAAATGAGAATGGAGAAGCTTTGTTATCTAAGTATTTAGGGGAGACTTTTATTCTCCTCTTGATTGCAAGATATAATAGTAATATTGTTCTTAGGTTCCAATATGAATTTGGGATTGTGTAGGTTCCCAAATGGGCCCCATAGTGAGCCTACACCACTCATCAGCCTCGGAATTGAGGGGAACCCAGTTTATCTTTCTCCCTTGGATCAGCATTCTCAATAGCATGAGTGGAAGGAATCTCAACTATTTATTGAACAAAGTCATTTAATTTTTTCAAGGGCAGATGTTCTCTAAAACTATATTCTATTGGAGATTTATTTCAATCCTTGGGTAGATTTTCTAAGAGTTGCTGGAAAACTTAAGACTTCTATTCCCATTTTCCTAAGCCAAGTACATTAGTAACAGTAACCATTTATTTAGCACTTTCTTTGTGTCAGGCACCCTGCTAAACTCTCGACATGCAGTATTTTGTTTAATCCTACCAACAGTCCAATGAGGTACTGTTTATTTTAGAGATGAGGAAACTGAGGCTAACAGAATTTGTGCTCAGATTCTTGAAGCTAGTTAATGGCAGAAGAAGGATCAGACCGGGTTTTTCGACTTCCAAAGTCTGTACCTCTAGTATCTATTCTATAATGCTTTCCTAACTCGTGTCTGCAGAGTTTATTCTTCCTAAGATCCCTGGTTATTAATAAGACTACTTGAATATATTGGGTAGTTATGATTTGTTTTTGTCAGCTAGTCAGCTGTTATATTTTCATAACTTTTCTTTTTCCTTTTGAGATGGAGTTTTGCTTTTGTTGCCCAGGCTGGAGTGTAATGGCACGATCTCGGCTCACCGCAACCTCCACCTCCCGGGTTCAAGCGATTCTCCTGCCTCAGCCTCCCGAGTAACTGGGATTACAGGCATGCACCACCAAGCCCAGTTAATTTTGTATTTTTAGTAGAGACGGGGTTTCTCCATGTTGGTCAGGCTGGTCTGGAACTCCCCACCTCAGGTGATCCGCCCACCTCGGCCTCCCAAAGTGCTGGGATTACAGGTGTGAGCCACTGTGCCTGGCCAGCAACATTTCTTAAACTATAACTATGGGACACTTCCTCATGGCATTATTTTATGTTGTCTTCTGATACCCAGGCTGCATTTTCCTGACTTATCTGATCACTTGACTTAATGTCCTCTAACAGAGCATTCTATTCTTTGTAGTCAGTTCACTGACTCACTTCTATCAGGTATCCTGCCCCTCCCTGAATGTGCCCATTTCCATTGTTTTCCAGGTTTCCCTTTTCAAACTGTTAACAGTCTTCTCTTCTTTGAACACTTTAATTCCTTAAGTGTTCAGTAAGTAGGATAGATTTTGTTAGCAATAGAGTGAAACACTATTGTCTGCTAGTGTTTCATTCTGTGACAGTTGCTGTTTTGGATGCTGTTTGGATGTTCAAGTACTTCACTGATTTACTTGTTTTTTTTTTTTTTTTCTTTTAGAGACAGGGTCTCGCTCTGTCGCCCGGGCTGGAGTGCAGTGATGCAATCATAGTTTACTGTGACCTGAAACTCCTGGGCTCAAGTGATCCTTGCATCTCAGCCTCCTGAGTCGCTAGCACTACAGGTGCACGCCACCGCCATGCCTGGTTAATTCTTAATTTTTGACTTTTTGGTAGAGACAAGGGCCTTGCTGTGTTGCCCAGGCTGGTCTCCAACTGGCCTCAAGCAGTCATCCTGCCTCAACTTCCCAGGTGCTGGGATTACAGGCTCAAGCCACCGTGCCTAGCCTTGAATTTTTTTTTTTTAATATTAGATACTATCTAGTTAAAATTTTAAAATCAGATTATGTAGTTAGTATGTCTCGTGATTTTAACAACTCTAAACAATTTAAATAAAGTGATTAACTCAGAAGAGCCTGTGAGGGATGTGCTTTCCTTTTTCTTTTTAACTTAGGTAATGAAATTTAGAACAAGGGTCTTCAAACATTTTCTGTAAAGGTCCAGATGGTAAATATTTTAGACTTTGTGATTACATGGTCACTGTTGCAACTACTCGAGTCTGCTGTGATAGTGCAGAAGCAGCCAGAGACAACATAAACAAGTGAGCATGGCTGTGTTTCTATAAAGCTTTATAGACACTGAAATTTGAATTTCACATAATTATTTTAAATAATAGGCCTACTTTTTTAGTATAATTATAGATTTACACAATAATTGAGCATATAGTACAAAGAGTTCCATGTACTTCCCCTCAATCCCCAGCTTCCCCTATTGGTAACATTTTGCATTAGTGTGGTACATTGGTTGCAACTGATAAGCCAGTATTGATACATTATTATGAACTTATTATTATAAGCCCATAGTTTAAAGTTCACTCTGTTGTACATTCTATGGCAGGGGTCCCCCGCCTTTTGGCACCAGGGACTGGTTTCATGAAAGACAATTTTTCCACAGGGGGTGGGGACGGGGAGGCACAGGAGATGTTTTCGGGATGATTCAAGTGCATTACATTTACTGTGCACTTTATTTGTATTGTTATTACACTGTAATATATAATGAAATAATTATACAACTCAACATAATATAGAATTAGTGGGACCCCTGAGCTTGTTTTCCTGCAACTAGACAGTCTCATCTGGGGGCGATGGGAGACAGTGATTAGATCATCAGGCATTAGATTCTCATAAGGAACGTGCAATCTAGATCCCCCATGTGCAGTTCACAATAGGGTTCGCACTCCTATGAGAATCTAATGCTGCTGCTGATCTGATAGGTCGTGGAGTTCAGGTGGTAATGCAAGTGATGGGGAATGGCTGTAAATCCAGATGAAGCTTCACTCACTCACCCACCTGCTGCTCACCTCCTGCTGCGTGGCCTGGTTCCCAACCTGTTCTATGGGTTTTGACAAATGTCTAATGACATGTGTCCATAATTACAGTATCATACAGAATAGTTTCACTGCCCTAAAAAAGCCCTGTGCTCTACCTATTTTTTCCTCACTCCTTTTCCCTGTCTCTGGTCAGGTAACCACTGATATTTTCACTGTCTCCATAGTTTTGCCTTTTTCAGAATGTCATATAGTTGGAATCATACAGTATGTAGCATTTTTGAATTGGCTTCTTTCACTTAGCAATATGCACTTAAGGTCTCTCCATGTCTTTTCATGGCTTGATAGCTCATTTCTTCTTAGCACTAAATAGTATTATATTGTACGGATGTTCCATAGCCTATTAGTCTGCCTAGGCTGCCATAAGACAACACCACACACTGAGTGGTTTAAGCAACAGAAATTTATTTTCTCACAGTTCTGGAGGTTTGAGTTCAAGATCAAGATGGCACCATGTTCAGGTTCTGGTTAGGGCCCTCTTCCTGGCTTGCACATGGCTGCCTTCTTATGTCCCTACATGGCATTGAGAGAGAGAATCTTCTTCTTCTTATAAGGCCACAGTCCTATCAGATTAGCGCCCCACTTTTATGACCTCATTTAACCTTAATTACCTCCTAAAGACTGTATCTCTCTCTATAGTCGTATTTGGGGTTAGGGCTTCAACATAAGAATTTTAGAGGCCGGGCGCGGTGGCTCAAGCCTGTAATCCCAGCACTTTGGGAGGCCAAGACGGGCGGATCACGAGGTCAGAAGATCGAGACCAGCCTGGCCAACACAGTGAAACCCAGCCTCCACTGAAAATACAAAAAACTAGCCGGGCGAGGTGGCGGGTGCCTGTAGTCCCAGCTACTCGGGAGGCTGAGGCAGGAGAATGGCGTAAACCCAGGAGGGGGAGCTTGCAGTGAGCTGAGATCGCGTCACTGCACTCCAGCCTGGGCGACAGAG